TATATTTTATTTTCAATTGTAATACAGTGACATTGATACTCGTATTATGAAATAAATAATTATATTCTATTCTTCTAATTAAAGATTGAATTTGATTTTAACTGACAATATTGATGATAAATTGGCACTGAAACTGTTATGGACAGGCGCGCTGCTTACCATTAACGCGCACGACTTGTTCGTCCCGTCTCTTGATGTTATAAAAAAAAAAGACACAGTAGAAGAATGTAATGACTAATTTTCAAACAATGTCCACTCTGCAAAAAATGGTGCGAGTGTGGCGCGACCTTGTGTGTGTTTCTAAATATTCTATGAAAATTCTCTCTTAAAATGTGATGTAAATAAAATTCATTTTCAACAAAATTTCACGTAATAAGGGACGATATTATCGTGCCCTTTATCATGGACGTAATTAAGAATTTTGACAGGAAAAGTTATTTACATAATTCGACGCAGCATGTCACTTTCACATGTGATGTAAATAATTAATTTTCATCGCAATTGCAAGTTATATGCATTAATCTCGTAAGGTATTATGATATGATAGGATATTAGGCGTCAGTTGACAATTGTTCACATTTTTAATGTTTTCTAAAAAGAAATAGTCCTTACGAAGATGTAGACATACTACGCTGATGCGAATACACGGGTTATGAGAAAACACATTTCTATGACTAATCTTGATATATGTCAGCGTGGTGTGTCTAGGCCTTTAGGGTTTAATCGTGTTGTTTTATTATTAATACAGCTCTAAACAATCAATTAAATCTAGACTGTGAACCTGTTAAATGCTAAGGACAAATTAACGAGGCCGAAATGAAGCGCGCGCAAATAGATGAAATAGAATGTTAACACAAAACTCTTGGCGTGTTAGTTTTACGCTCTGTAGGGGGTTAGCACGAAAAGGCGCGTCAAACGCGATAGCAGTATCTCGCGCTTTATGTCGCTCTCGCGTTTGCCGTGCTCTATCGTGCTAGCTCTACTGATCACGATTAAACGAATTTGTGCGCGCTTAATTCAGCGCGTATTTAGCGCCGGATTTTTTGACTGGCCTAATGCCTTGTGCAGTGTGTGGAATGACGGTAACAGTATGGTATTGTTCACTTAGGCCCAATTAACGTAGCAATAGGAACTGAACCGAATTCTAATTATATAATGTAACAATAATAATAACGCACACACTCAACATAGCCCCGCACTAGGGAAACCCTGTGTCGCAGGTGCCATGGACACACATAGACAACCACAAATGACACCCAAACTCACAAGAGAATTAAATGTAGGCCATACAAATATTTCTCCCGGCCCGGGAATCGAACCTGGGACCTCTGCGTGGCGGTCCGGCATGGTAACCGATCGGCCACGGAGGCAGTTAGAAATTGCACATAGCATGATGAACTTGATGTCAATTGTGTAACGCGCAAACTATAGTCTGTTTTTTTGAAGATGGAGTAAAATTGACTGTTCATTTCGCAAGTGTTGCCCGCTTGCGAGCAGTGATTGCAGTCGATAAAAATTATATCGACTATCGACTGAATCTTGGTTACGCTTATGAAATAAATAGCACAGCTCGTTTCATTTCATTTATCATCGGCCCATTAGACGTCCAACTGCTGGGCACAGGCTCTTTTTTTTCTTTTTATACATGACAGGCAGATGATTCCACCTAATGTAAAATGGAATCCAAACGTGAAGGAACCTAGTGCAGTGTTGACACAGTCACTGCCCTAGCCACCTCCACCTTGCATGCCTACAAGATGACGCCTCGTTTGAAGGAACCCAATATCGTAAGACGGTGGGAATACGTGTCCTGGAAGGAAGTTACATTTCTCAACTGTGCGACAGAGGAAGGTTCACCACCGAAGGTTTATTTCAATTTTAAAATTTTGAAAATTCGTTCATACATACGCTTTAGAAGAATGTCTATTAAAAATACAAATAAGAAACATTTTAAACTTTCTCATTTTAATTGAATATACAGATCAAAAACGCCTGTCTGTTAAAATGTTAAAAAAAAATTAGATAATTATAGATCAACATACATCAACATACATAGGATAAAGAATACAATAACGCAATTAGTAATCGTTAGAACGTCGTAGCATTCACAATTAAGGGATTTTTGGCAAAATTTTACCTATTTTCACAATCTATCGATAAAATTGTCGACAGTAACTACATGACTACTCAAAATTTTACGAAAACTGGCAACCCTGCAAATGTAATTTTACTCCACCTTCAAAACAACACTGACTATAGATACGAACGTACAAAATCCTAATTGACACTACATCAACACACAAATGAGATAATGTAAAATTAGCAGATTTGGGGCTCTGTTTTTTGGCTCTTATCTTATAATAAATAAATAACGCACACACTCAACATAGCACTAGGGAAACCCTGTGTCGCGGGTGCCATGGACACACACATAGACAACCACAAATTACACCCAAACTCACGAGAGAAATAATTGTAGGCCATACAACTATTTCTCTCGGCCCGGGAATCGAACCTGGGACCTCTGCGTGGCAGTCCGGCATGGTAACCGTTCGGCCACGGAGGCAGTTCAGTTCTCTAGTTTGTACGTTACATAAATGTCATAAACCCCGCGTTCCGCGATGTAAATTGAGCCTTTGTGAATTATTTTACCACTAAATAAACAAGTAAATTAAAAATCATGGTTATAGACATTTAGTGTTATGCTACGTTGCGGAGATTAAAAAATAAAATATAGCAACATTGACTTAATGTTAGGTAGCTATTACGCTGCACAAGGCGTAAGTGCTTTTTTGTCAAAAAGATCGTCGCATGCGCATCCAAGAGCTTCAATAGCGATACAGACGCAATAATTAGCAACATCTGTAATAATTGGCCAGGGTACAGTAATTTCTCAATATTCATTGCATTCAGTACACACGGATTGTTTTCAAAGGAGAAAATTTGAGAAATTACTTTTTAACCGACTTCTAAAAATTGTCAAGTTTGAAGTCTAACCGACTTCTTTTAATAAAAATTATCTGATAGAGAAATTACTGCGTTGACCAATTACAAAAGCAGCATAATACAAACAGAAATTATAAGTGATAATAATAATTACAAGAACAAAATTAAAACGGTGATTAATCAAAACACATAAGAGATATTCAAGTTAAGCGTGATTTTAGGAAACTAGCCGTCTATCTTGAAAGACAGTCAGACTTACGAAGTTATTTAGAAATTCATTCACTGTGTTTCAATCAGGGTTCGGTGCGCAATTATCATTGATAATTATGATGATAATTATCGCAACAATTGTCATAATAATTATAACGGTAATTATCAATGATAAATATACCTTGATATTTAAAAAAATAATTGGAACAACAAAATGCTACCGCTAGCAATGTCGCGCCGTGTAAACACACGCGATACAAAAGTATCTGAGACATATCTAAACAAATGAAAATAAAAAACAATCTCAAAAAGTCACAAACCATGGCCACTTGTTTAGAAGAATTTTCTTCGGGTTTATTTAGTTTTCTCATTTGTCCTTTTGAGACAAAAATTAAAGAGACTAAACAATCAGCAAGTATAATTTTATTGTATAAATTTCCATGTCGTATAGAGGCTAGGACATAATGTAGTGGATTCCGGACTAAAGAAAAGATAAAACTAATTATTTATGTTTTGTAACCTTCTTGTTGTGTGTGGCATTATGTGGGTGACGTGTTCGTTGGAACAAAACCGTCTTCATACGACACACAGTAAAGATTTAAAAAAATATATTATCGAATTATTATCACATAAATAAATATCTTATGATTATGAATATCCGGTGGGACTTGAATCCACGACCATGCTGAAATTTTCCAATGTGTTTTTGTTAAAGATCTTTGTGCTGACTTTCGGGCATTCATTGCCGCTAGCGACATCTAGTGAGAGATTTTTGAATAACCTTCTCACCGCAGCTGATAGCTTTACAGATATCGCAACAGTCGCAGATGTCGCTTTTCGATTAAATACATTTATTGAGGTTTTTTGTGAAATAACTGCACTAGTTTTTGTTATAATTATGAATACAATTATCGAACCATCGAGTATATAACCAGAAATAGAGACGAAATAAGGGCCATTCATCCCTGCCAACCCATCATGCAAATGGGCCTTATATCACTTTTAAATATCAACTCTCGTTTGTGCTGAAATCACAAATTAGAAAACTGAGATAGTACAGCGCCAACAACTGACTTGTGTGTACGTCTCCGTATATTCCAAAAATATTCCGTATTTATTGTAATAAAGATAATATCTCGAACAATGGGGGTTGTTCCATTCGGTGGTGTGGGGAAAACAGCAAAACATCTAATTACAAAATAAACGGAATCTCATTTTATCGGTAATTAAATATGTAATTTTGAAAATTTCGTCCATTATAGCAAAGCTCAAGTTTAGGTGGACGATCTGAAGCGAAACAATTGACGACACCCGTCAATTGTTTCGAGTTCGGGCTATCCAAATGATTTGGCAGAATAGTTTTCAAACAAATTAAATGACATTTCGTCTCTATTTCTTGTTATATACTCGATGTATCGAAAACACATAATCATCGTATTCATAACCATAACAAAAACTAATGGAGTTGTTTCACGAAAAAATCTCAATTAAGAAATATCTTGGTAATTTCGAACCCTGGTCTCAATTTTTGGAATCTATTACTGGTTTTCGAAATGTATGTGAAAATTCTGAAGAATTTCAAGTTAGGCGGTTTTGGGGTCGGACGTTGCGTTCGAGAGTCACCACAGGCTAGCGAGACAGAAAAAGCTTCATATCCATATAGTAAGAGCGGAAAAGTCATTATGGGTAGACGTAATCGGTTCGAGCAGAAGCATGGACATAAAACTCCATCTGACCGACTCAGGCCGGATACATGTGGTGACTCAGGCGCCACCATTATGGATCGCATGCGGGGCGAAATCGGCAAAACAGGAAAGATAGCAAAAGATAAAATATCAATTTACCTTGCTTGTCAGCGGGTGACTGCACGACTGGCGCCGGCTTCTCCTGGCTGGCCAGCAGCTCTGGTAGCATCGGCGAGTCGATCCATAGACCCTGGGCGTCCAGCTCGAAATGATAGCTGGGGGAGAATTGTGTCATTTAGGAAAACTATAGTTTTTATTTTCGCTTAACGTCGCGAGCGTAAATCATCGTAATTTATGCGACGGGAGCATTGACTTACAATTATATGGACGTCGGGTCCGCGCTAAAAAGTGTCCGAACTTATAGGGCGTTAAAATCGTATACAGAGCGTCATTCACGCTTTAGTCTTCGTTTGTTCGACTGACAGCGAAGCAAGCAAAATTAGACAGTACTGCGATGACATTACAATTTAAATTCAACGTTTTAGCTTTTTCATATTCCTTTACATGTCACTACGTTTAAATAGGTTGACTTGGGACATTTTGTTCGTGGTATTTGTATTAGAGCCGTCGTCCATTTATTTGTAAGTCAATGGACGGGAGTTAAAAATAGGTAAAAAAAATACTCACCCACAAAGTTGCAGGCTGACATGTCTCCAAAGACACTCACTCTCCTCGTGCATAGCGCCCTCGATCCAATCCTGCCGTTTGCCCTCAGCGTCCGTTGCTATGTTCACGCTAGTGGACAAAAAAGCGACAATTTTAGAATGAGGTATTGGTATAGTAGATAAAAGTAGCAGTAGAGGCCCTCGTGAGGTTTCGTCCAGGGAAGTACTACCACCAAACCTGTTTTGGCTTAGTAATGCGATCATTACTGCGTTCCTAAATAAATAAAGGAATTACCTTTCAAAGCCGCGGGTGAAATTTTGTAATATAAATTTTGTAAATTTTGGGACTTGTCGTGTTATGGGTAGGCGTGTCGATTTCCACCAACCCCATGACTTGTTGGTCCCGTAACTTGATATTATAAATGCTTGTCGGATGGTGGCTTCCTTGTTAGAATCCTTTCAAAAGTAGCTCTGCCGCTACTAAAGATAATAATACATACAAAATTACTTATTTCTCCTCACAAAGATACAGGATGCATATTAACAATAAGGTACTTAGACTAGTTAGTTACATTTGTGGGAGACTGAAGCCTAAACTAGGTCTAACCTGTATGATAGGTCTCCAGGCGTGTAGTACAACACGTCAAGTGGATAATGGAGACTACATTAAAAATGTTTGTTGTTGTTTTGTACATTATATTAACATGAGAGCCAAGTCCAAACTCATGGTACCACAACTTCGTTTAACCGAGGCAAACGACTCTTTTATTGGGAACTATATACGTTTTTACAATATGATTCTGGACCATACACTAAGATTATCATTTCCTAAGTTTAAAAACTACATTAAAGATGATTTGGCATTATGATATAGCATTTATTTACTCCACGACAAAACAAAAATAAAAATTATATCGTTAGCGAGACGTTTAGATATATCTATTATCTAATAATTAGGTTCGATGTGCGATATAATTACAAAATATGTAGAAATTTACATTTTAACAACGTTAAAGACAGCATTAGCTCGTTTGAACATACATGTGACGCCATCTATTGGTGGCGCTCGGTACTTTTTAGTATAGTAAGTTCAATCTTTGATCTAATTACAAAATACGTTAAAATATTGGTTTTAACGACATGCGTTCGTGCATTATGGCTGGTTTACACATACGACTATTAAGTGGCGAAATAATTAGCGTTTAAGACGAAGTAATTAGTGAAGAAATCAAATTCTAACGTAATTTTAAGTAATTTAACGTTTATACTTGTTTTCATACGGATATAAGTGCTTTGACATTTTGCAAACAAACGTTCGACCACTAATGATATATTTTTAATAACAGTAGTGTGAAAGAGTTCATCCGGGAAAGTACTGCCAGCATAACTATTTCTCCTGACAAGCAATAATGTGAGCAATAGAATAGAATATAAGAGACATTTATTGCAACGCCACAACACAGATAAAAAAATTTATAACGCAAACAAGGAAAACGAAATTAAAAAATAATAATCAATAAACAAAATATAAAATACAATTAAAAAAAACAACATTAAATAGACAAATCTGACAAAAAGCAAAATACAAATTGTAACAACTACAAATATTGTACAGTTGTGGCGTACGCAAAAGGACTTCATTCAGTATAAGCCACAGCCATTATTGACTGTGGCGCTGGTTTTCAATGAGCCCATTATTGAGTTTCGATGATCATGGGTAAGAGTGCTAGTGAAATTACAGGCACGTGGGTGTAATCAAATGTTTGTGATTTAAAGCACTGCGTGGCACTGCAAGTGTTATAGACAGGCGTATCGCGTACCACTAGGCGCACGACTTGTTCGTCCCGTCACTTGTTACCACAAACTATGTACATATATATATATCTAATTTATCTAATAATTTTCTAATAATCATCATTTTGGATTTGAAGCAGCAGCATGATATTGACATTTCGTAGATGTTGTATGATTATTTTTATATATTTCAAATTATTGATGAGGTAATTTATTATTTATATAATATATTTAGTATATCTAAAAGTTTAAATTTTTTTAATATAAACAATTATTTCAATTTTATTTATTTCAATTATTATTATATTAATTTCAAATATTATAATATTTTTATCTATTATTCTTTAAAAAAAATCTTTTATAGATCGAGAAAAATGTTCTCTGTTCGAATGCGGATTTGATCCTAAATCTTCAGCACGAATTCCTTTTTCAATACAATTTTTTTTAAATACTGTTATTTTTTAAATTTTTGATGTAGAAATTGTTTTAATTTTTCCAATTATTATAACTTATAAATTAACAAATTTTTTGTATTGAACGAAAATTAGATTTTTTTATTTTATAAATCTACATATTGGTCTTTACCATGAATGAAATCAAAATATACTTAATTGAACAAATTAAGGATTATAGTTTATGTTAAAACATTTGATTTGCAATCAAAAAATATTGATTTCAATTTATCTTAAATAAGAAGCAATTATGCATTTAATTTCGATTTAAAAGATAGAGTTTTTACTCCTTATTTAAATTAATTGAAACCAAAGTAGAGGTATATCACTGTTAATGATATAATTGAATTATAAATTCCAATTAAGAAATATATTATAATATATATAAGATCATTAGCCAACCAAATGCTTCAAGCCATGCCTACTATGGAAGGAGCAGAGCGCGAGATGGTCGGCTACTTCATTAAGAAATAGATTTGATTCTAATTTACTTATCCACTAAATTGATGATTACTTAACATTTGTTTAGTGATAGTTTACACACATAAATTAGTTACAATTTACTTAAGTCGCACTCGGGTAGGTCGCTGCTGAGGTCAGTCCACCTTTTCCGCGTTGTATATTAATGTCGTGCCAATTATCTCATAGAAAAATGACTTACTTTGCTACTTTGGAGTGCAAAAATTATAGCCGCACTAGTAATATTATCTATGGTAGTGTTTTGTTCATTAAGTCTTTTTTGTTTAATTTTAACAAATTTTCAATTGTGTATTTGTCGTAATAACTTTTGTTACGAGAACCGAAAGTGAACCTATACTGCTCTAATATGGTTGTTTGTTGTTTGGTGAACTAAATAAACATCTCGAATTTGTCATCATTCAGCTATTAACCGTTAGATGGCAGCACATTGATTGAAATTTCGATATAAAATCAAAATGTCGTAACTTGCAATAATAATTGATTATAAGTATTAACTATTAATGATATGCCAAAAGGGTAAAGTTTAAATTATAACTAAGTCCAGTAAAGAAAGAATAGCCACTCATATTAACAAACTGGCTAGCGCGTTGTGTGTACCACCACGGATGACAAATTGAAGCATAAACACATTTGGGATTCCACCAACTAAGCTGAGTAGTTTCCTACATAAAGACAACCAAACATTAGAAGGGTATGCCTGACACGCCAAAATATATCAACTATATTTAAGACCAATTGCATTGTTGGCTAAAAACAAAAAAAAATTTGAAGCTACAACCAATCATCATCGAGATATCATAGTATTTCAAATTAATGATTGTGTGAGTTTTGGCAACAGCGGTTCTGATAGTAATCGAGGCATAAAGCACTTCCATTGTTTTTTCTTCCGTGTCAGAAAATAATTGATAATGAATGGGTGAGGAATGTTTTTGGGAAGGAGGTCATAAAGTGGGAAGCATAAAATCATCTGTTACTTACAGATTCAATCAGAGCTTGTGCAAGCCAATTTCTGTGCAAGTCTTTAATATTATCATTTATGAGTAATAACAATGAGCAGAAATTATTTATCAACAAGACTATCTAGCAAAGATAGTTACTTTTTAACTACATTAGGCATTTGAAGGTATTCATAGAGCTAATGAATTTTGTGAACAATGAGAATTTGTAATTGTTTTTTTGAGTTATTCAACAAATAAGATGTTAATTATTTTTTAGATGAAATTGTGATTTCATCTAAAAAACAAGTGTGTGCATAATAATAGTGTGTGCACTATTTTACCACCATGTGTTTATGGATTCAATGTTTCAATTTGCAATAACTCATTCATGTATATTGAGTTCTTGGGTTTTTGCAATTGTTACACATAGGAAACACACAGTTGACCATGGGACCTGTAAAGGGCCTGAAACATTGGCTTGTTTGAAAACTCCAATACACACAATTGAATTCTGGAAAAATAGTTTCATTTCCATATATTTATGGATTTAAAATTGGAATAACACCATTTACAATACTATAAATTACATTTTTATATTTGGAACAACCATTTAAAACCGTAATATGTTCATGGATTCAAATTTTAAATTTAGAATAACCATTTTAAATACATATACAACAGTCTCATCAATATATTTGTGCTTGTGTACTTTCTAAATAGGGAGGTAAAGTGCCACATGTATACAGGAAAACATAATAAAATAAAAATCAAAAAGTGGTAGGCTTAGAATCACTTAGTTTGGTCAAAATATTGTTATTTCACTATAACGATAAGGCAGTATTAATTAACAAGCGAATACGGAACGAGCCATATATTTACCGATATCGTATGTGTGTGTGCAGTGTTAGTTATGCAAGTGTTAGTGCTTTAAAAAAGAAATACGATTTTTGATGGTTATTCCGACATTTATATAATTATAAAAGTGGATATAGGGTTATCGAGGTGTGAAATTGTCAAAATTGAATTCGAAAAGCGGGAAATTTATGTGCTTATTGATAAGACGATTCGAAATGGATTTTGGTTGGGTCGAGGTCACGCATCGACGCTTAACGTATATGATAGAGTTTAACGAGAAATCAGGTGCAAAACTTACATATTTTGGAGGGAAAACACTTACTTGTAAAAGGAGAAGCTGCAGATCACATCGTATTCCAGGTTGCAGCCCTCCACAACACATTTTTGAGCGGTCATTGTGGACCTAGTTTCAACCACAAGGAATATGGATTCCACAAACTCACATCGTCGTTTACAACTAAAAATATTAAAATACTACTGTTTAGCGCCTAAACTAACTTTCAAACAAACTAATTTGATGGATCTTTAGAAAATTATCAATCAAATGTCGAAAATGACGTGCTGTCACGAAAAGTCGAAAAATTAACAAATGCGTGCCATGAAATGGTGATGTAATTTTCCGTTCCAATTGTTTATGGCAACACTGAAGCGTCAGTGAATCGATAATATTTTCTCGATTCAAGGAATCGAAAATCATATCAGAGGAATACAATACTTTACTGTCATACAAAATATACAATAAGAAATCACGAATTAACTTAAAGTTATAAAAAAATATATTTTTATTTATGTCATTAATTTTACACTAATAAAAATAAAAGAGATTTTTGATCGATGATGAGAATCGATTTGTAAGCCGATTCTGATATTACCATAGGAAAAAATGAAAGCATAAACTAATTGTAACTTTTTTAAAATTAATTTCTACACAGAAATGCAAATAATCAGCCTAGTGATAACGCTATTCAAATCGTTTATTTTAATATTCAATCAATTGTTGCTTCGCTGATTTTCAATCTATATGCCTCATTGGTACACATTGCCCTTTATTTGCATAGAATGTATTTTATTTTCGAATAAATATTTTTACCATAGATAATGCAAAAGCGTCATCACATGAACATCCGATTCGTAATTTCCTGTATGTAATAATTTTATTGCTATTTAGACGTATTACAATTAATTAGCTTTGCTATTGCGCTCTTAGTGTTCTAAATTTATTAGATTTATTTATAACTAATAATAACCTGTTCAGAAATGGCAGTTGTCATTCAATTGTCATTTGAAGATCTTTGACAAAGACGTGTCATTATTCTCCACCGACCGATACTGTTTTATAATTTCTCGAATTGCACACATTACTATCGAAAAATTAATAACAAAATCTGTGGCCTATTTCTTTTTGGAATTTATTTTTCTATGTTTATCTCGGAATCTACTATACTAGATGTGCTATTCGATAACAGATGGCACCACCAATTTTGGTTTTTTGAATAGAATGGACTATTTCAAGAACCAAATTTAACGATGGCACCGTTATTAGGGCCAGCACAAACCAACAGACGGCAGGGGAGTGCATCGAGGAGGATCTTTTGCTGCCAGCGCACACTGATGTAGGATGTTCCTTACGAAACCGTACCGCAGAGTTGCGAATGGAGTGCCGCGGCATCCCTTGTACTAGCGACTACGTAGTGGCCAAGTCCCTGACGCATATCGGTGGATTCCAGCGCCTCCTGTCGCGGGATCCTCTAATGCGCTGTTTAACACAACATAGGAAACCAAACGCTGTCGTAACTCAAAAATGGTGGAATTGAGAAAACATGAGTCGAATTAACAAATTAATATTGTCGTATATAAGTAAATAACTAATTTATTATATATAAATTAAAATAATCTCATCCGTAATAACATTCATTTAGCATTTTTTTAAATTTTAAAATCCTGTTTTCTCAATTCTACCAATGTTTAGTTACCACAGTAAATGGTTTCATGTGCTACCTTATTTCTAGAATGTAAATAATGCTGTCCTCTGCCTTCTACACACACGCAATTGCATACGTTTACAATAAACTGATTACTAATTCTATTATAAATGCATGCGTGCATTTAGAGCAAAATTAGTTGTCACTTTATAGCATTCATAGTATAAACACAGTAATAACAAATAAATAATAGTATCACAAACGGTATACGAAATTATACTTAAATCTAGTATTATAATAATTTGCAATTATGTTCATTTTCGCCATACAAATGTATGTTCAAATACTACAAATACAAATTACGTATCGAAACCACATTGTTAGAGATAAGCATAAATTCGGAGACTGAATATTATTAGGTGTTATTTAGATAAAGTTTGATAACTTTAGGTAAATAATATACCTATAGTGATCCATAGGTCGGAAAAAGCGTTCCACATATCATATAGATACATGTATAGACATAGTTACATGGAACGACAAGTTGTTAAAGTCACCAAATATTACTTGATTATTTTTTCGAATTCCGGGTTTCCCGAAATGGTTTTACTACATCGTAGGACAAACTACTGACCTAGGAAGTTGAAGTTCAATTTTAAAATTTTAGTTGTTACGCTGTTTTGAAGTTATTAAGGTGTTTTACTGTCCACGCTGAAATAAGCTTATTTCGGCGGCACCGTTTTTGAATCTCAAAAACCACAGCTCCTAGATTAGATCTGATTGCACCCAGAAAATGTCGTAAATTAGTCGGTTCTAGTCGCGAAATTTGAACGGCGGACCGACTAAATCTAATTTTTTGCGACTAGAACCGACTAAATAGCGACTTTTTTCTGGCTAGTTGACTTTCCAAAACTGGACTATGGTCACGCTGGAATAAGGCACGCCTTTGCTTCTATAATGTGCCACGTGTATGTCATTTAGTTGCATAGTGTTCTCAATGCTGTATTTTGCTATTGTATTTTTATCAGTAGGTAACTGTTTTTTTGTAATTATTTAATATAGTTTCTATTACTTTGTGACACAAGCGTACCTTCTAAAATAAGTATACCTGACAAGATAAAGGAACCATTATATGGATGTAGTTAAAAAGGATCCAATGCACATCCATTCACATTCGAGATATGACAGTTTGAAGTTTAAAAATGTTTCTCTCGTTTTATTTTCAAAATTTTATCATGTTACACCAGAGATATTTATGTTTATGTTGGATTTTTCTTGTTGAACTAAGAGGTTTGACTTTAGGAACCGTTTGGTACATATAACTTATTTTTTGATAATTTGTGGATTGGATCCTTTTACTATAATTACGTTGGCGCTGTAGGAAAGTAGACTTTAGGTATCTATTATTTTGAACTACTGCATCCGAGTACCTAGGTACTGGTGGCCCGGCCACAGAGGATCACACGTACTCACGTGCCCTCATTGTGCGTAACATTACAGATATAAGGTTGCTGGACATTAATCCTCTTCGAGTGCATCAGCGCCAAGCCTAGTGTTCGCTATGAGGGTCGAATAGACAAATAAGGTTGAATTAAAGCTCAATTTATATTGCGGCGGAACGGAATGGAAGAAATTTTTAACGATAACATAGCGTAATGAACTTTATGGTCAATTGTGTAACGTTCAAACTAGATACGAGACAGAAAGCACGTCACGCGTCTTCCGCGGAATTCTCGCGCATGCACGAGAAATTTCGCACCGTCCCTGGAAGGCTTGAAAATTCGCGGGAATGCTCGAGTCGAAATTGACGCTTTCATTCTATTCCGTTCGTGTAAATTGAGCCTAAGGGTTCAACAAATAAAAACACAAATTGTCTCCTTATAACTTTATTATCCCCTACTTTTTAGGTGCCGGCTTGACTTTAGCTTTCTCTGCCTTCTTTTTAGGGGGAGGAGGGGGCGTCTTTTTCGCTGTGGGCTTCTTCGGTTTCTTGCTGACTGCCAGCTTAATTGCCTTGCGCCTCTTTTCCCTCAGCTTCTCCGCCTTCATCGCTGGATCGGTCTCCGCCATCTTAATCTAGAGTAAAAAAAAAACAAATATGTAGTATGGTTTTTACAATGGTGTTGAAATGGAAGAGGTGGGTTATTCAGTATGTGTCAACGTGAAAAGGGTAATCATTGTTTATCATAACCCAATGCTCTGATAAGAGAGTATCATCATTTTATATTTTACTAGCTGGTTTCTGCGAAGAATAAGTAATTTGAGTAGCCTACTCTACCGCCGTTAGTTGAAAGGGCGCTTGTGACAAAAACTCAAAACCGAGAAAATAATAAAAATTTGTTTTGTAATGCGTCTAATTATTATACTCAGTCCAACTATTTAACATTTGACAGCTCGAATTCTAATCAATTAGTGATGTCCTGTGTTTTCGATTCGATTTTTTATAATGATCGATTTTATTTCTGAAGAACTTTTAATCGTGAACGTGAGCGGGTTCCAAAAAATATATTGTCTGAATTCATAATTAATGTTAATGAGGATACAAGTGTTGATTCCCGTTCATATGGAGAAGAATCCAACGATTCATTATAATTTATATAATAATTTACTTCATTATAGGTTCAAAAATTTATCAACTACTTGAATAATCTTCATTACATAATCTGTTGGCTCGATATACATCGGTGCTAAAGAGCACGTCGCTTAACTAAAATTAAAAAATAAGAGTCCATCTAGGAAGTATTGCCTTTTTTGTCTATGGGTGTAATATCAATAATTACGGAACTTCGGAGGCATGCATATTATATCAAAAGTTAAATAAATGGTTGGACGTAGTATAACTTAGTTTGACCTTAAAAGGCATAGGCGGGCAAGCGCCCGGGTTTTAATCCAGCGCTTTATTGACGACGGGTTTAAATAGGGTTAAACCCATTGAAGCCCGAAATTGAGGGTAAAAACTATCTACACCTAAATATTTGCTGTAAACCGACTTTTGTTCAAAATGTTTATTGCTTTTTGATCTTGACGATTCGATTTGCCTTTAATTATTATATTTAATTATTAATATTTAAATATTTAATTATTATATTATAAAGGTTAATTGTGTTTTACCCCCTGCCCGTCACTAGCTGTACATAGTAGTTAGTATAAATAAGTTTCAGGGCGTTAATTAAATGCCGTTTCGACGCTTTCTCGCTGTCCCCTCCTCCAAGAAGTTATAATATTGAAAACAACTTACACCACGTTTCTCAGCAACGGCCAAAGCTCTCAAGTTGTTCCTCCTGTTCTGGTCCAGAACCGCCTTCCTCTTCATAACAGCCGCGTGCGGGTTCAGCCTTAGCATCGCCTTAGCATTCGTCAAGGGGTTCAGTTTTCTTGCAGCGCGGACTACCCGCTTGCTGAAATTGAAAAGGGTTTTAATTTATGCGTTGCTTTGGAGAGGGTATGGGCTAAAATGAGGATGGTCATCAGTATGTGTCAACGTGTATGGGTAATCATTGGTTTTCATAACCCAATGCTCTGATTAAGAGTATCATCATTTATCTTGTGCGGAACCCTATACAATTCAAGCTGCGTCTATCTATAATTATAGACAGATCCGTCTTTTTTGATGACGGCGTAAAATGACAGTTATTGCGCAAAAGTGTCACCCACTTGCAAGCAGCTAGTGATTGCAGTCGATAAATATTCTATCGACTATCGAATATTGGTTACGCATATAGAAAAAATTAGCCAAACTTGTTTCATTTGAATCATCCTCGATCCATTATTCATCCAATTATTGAGAGCAAGTTCATTTCAATTGTCAATTTTTGTGTTTATAAAAAATACAATGAGGAGACATATTACAAAGTTTTTAAATTTAATTCAATATAGATAATCAAATCTGACCATTCTTGTTAAAATGTCTATAAATAAAAATTTATCTCGATATTAGTAGGTCAACTGTTAAATTAAGAATAAATAAGGCAAATTAGTAATCATTAGAACATCTTAACATTCACAATTCAATCATTTATAGCAAAATTTTATCTTCTTTCACAATCTATCGATAAGACAACTGAAGATATGAAAACTGGCAACCCTACAAATATCATTTTGCACCGTCTTCCAAAAAAGAGACCAGCAGAAAATGTAAATTACGTACTTGGGCGCTCTGAGACATTTGCGGATCTCGTCAGACTTGAGGAGTCTGCTCAGGTCGGTGTTCGCCATCTTAGGCTGCGGCAGGTTGAAGTTCTTCTTCTCCTTCGAGGGCGTCTTCCATGAACCGAACAGAGAGTCTGGCAAAAGAGAGATTGAGTAAGCATACTGCTGATTCATAATACTTTACCTTCGGAATTAAAGAAAAAATTACACCTGTAAATCTAAAACGTTCAAATTAAAAGTCACTTTAAGAAAACTAGTCCGTTAGACACTTAATTTAATTTGTAATTTGGAGCACGCTGTACGAGCACGGGCTTGGTCAATAACATGCGAGTGCAAAAACTGCTTTTTGTGTTGTATTTTACGATATTTGTTTTGTTTTTTTTTCCTTACCGACATTCAAAATTATTTCGTAATGTTACACACATTATTCTTTTGTTAATTTTGTCAATTCTATACTCGCAAGTAAACGAGGTCACATTTATGTCGTGTATATTTATAGGTTTATAAGAGGATTGTGCAGCACCTAGACAAACTGATATAGGTTTATAAGTGTTTAGTGAAATAAATAAAATAAAATCAATCTGTGTAGTTCCCACCGAGATGGTGACTGTATGACAAGGTCACCGACCTATATTGATCTACTTGTCATACTAACACATGTTGAACGGTAGGTTTATTTTTGTTGTTGAAATAATATCTAATGACGTGACGAACAAGTCGTGCGCCTGATGGTGAGTTACACGGTTGTCCGTAACCGTTGCAGTGCCACTCAGAGTTTTAAATCATAAAGATCTGGGGAGCACTGCCACTGCTTGTCACCCTGAGACATTAGTTGATAAGTCCCATGTGCCTAATAATAGTACTTTCACCAGCACCTTTACCCTTCAAAACTGGATCGCAATAATGCTGACATTACTGCTTGGCGGCAGAAATAGGTAAGCAGTACTTTCCCTGGACGAACTTTTTCACAAGGAACTAACCACCTAAAGTTTTTTAACCGATTTCAAACAAGAGGAGGTTCTAAATTCGACTGTTTTTTTATTATTATGTTACACGATAAACCCCGGCAAATTGGTTCACTAATGTGAACCGACTTTGATGAGTCTTCTTTTGTTGGAAAGAGGGTACCTCAGAAGTGGTCCCATTTAAATTTGAAGAAAATATTCCGCCTCTAAGGGTGGCAAACTAGGGGATGAATGATTTTTGAGGTCGGTTTTATTAGTACTATGCACAGAGATTATGAGGTTTTCTTAATATCATTGTATTTTGTGACAGGCTTCCTGTTCCCATTTTACCTCTCGTTTTAATAAATTTTATATAAACCGAGCAAAAAGTAAAGCTTTTTAATTTCGCCAATGCTGGGCTACACATGCGCAGGCGGCGAGGTGTGTCATTCCGCAACCACTACTCGCAAACGGCTTACGTCGTTCAGTCTTTCAGTGATTTTCCACGAATGTAAAGTTATTTTTTATTTCTACAATACACGAACATCCTATCCCTGATATTGATTTTTATTGTAAAGCCTGGACAATACATTTCTATTGTTTTTTTTTTTAATACGTGACTGGCAGATGACTCCAATCCACCTGATGTAAAATGGAATCCAAACGTGAAGGAAGCTAGTACAGTAGAATAGTCACCACCCTAGCCAACTCCACCCTACATGCCTTTAAGATGCTTCTTCACGCCTCGTTTGAAGGACCCCATATCGTAAGACGGTGGAATACGTGCCCTGGAAGGGGGTTCTATTTCTCAACTTTACGACAGAAGAAGGTCAAGGAGGAGCCACCAAACCTTTTAGTGCGCGATGCAATACGGCTAGTTGTAAAACGGTGACTACGGAGGCCAGCACGCGTGCTTCGGAGCAGAAAGGGGAGGGCGATATATTTTTATACTAGCATCGCGGATTGGTATCTCGATCATGGGAGTTCGAATTTGAAATAGAACTTTTGTAATAGAACGCCTCATTTCTATAACAACTCACGTGCACCGCGGAATTACGTGAATGTGTGCCAGTCGCGCTGCTACGTATGGAGTTGTACTACTTATTACACTGTGCTCTTACTGTGTACATTGCATCTGAAAGTATAGTGTATTCCACATGTCGACACACCGCCAGACAGCACACCCGGCGATGTTTCCTTTGGGAATAGATCTATATACCCCATAATATTTGTAACTCCAGCCATATGATATGGAGAGAGCAAGGCTTATCGGGGATCACGCGTAAATCCGTCCGAGTAATTCCGTTCGCAAATGGCCAAATTTGAATGGTAGACAATTATAACAAATTTTATATTTTTACGAAATGAAACTATTTTTCCGTATTTAAATCGCGTATATTTGTTGTTTCAAACAAACCTACGTTTTACAGGTCTAATTCATATTGTTACAATAAAGAAATTTGTAAAACAATGTAGCGTAAATTGGAATGTTTCTTTGTAAAATTAAAAAATAAGGTATTTAATTAATAACTATTATGACTATAGTGAAAAAATAGGGTGGTTTGCATTAATATTAGACATAACTGGTTGATGACTGTACGACCTCGAGTCAACCGGGCCCATGGGACCTGTAAAGGGCCCGAAACGTTAGTTTGTTTGAAAAACAAATATACGCGATTTAAATCCGGAAAAATAGTTTCATTTCCTATGTGTAACAATCGCGAAAACCTAAGAATTCGATTTATATTTTTACTCAACGTATCTTATTAGCGAATGAACGTTTTACCTTTTTATTAACCGACTTCAAAAGAGGGGAAGTTTTCAATTTGACTGTATTTTTTTGTGTGTGTATGTCACGCGATTACTATTACTTATTATTAGACATACTTATTATTAGGATAATTAAAAACATGAATTTGCTGGTCATGCTAAGTATGATAAGGGCAGTAACGGTCACCATCCCTTTATATTTTGACTTCTGTATCATATTAGAGAATGTTTCATCGTATTTTTATCTGGATCTATTTGTTGACTTACCAAGCCTGTCGAAAGCAGACTGTGTCCAGATGATGAACCTTCCAACATGGCCGCCGGGCGCAAGCTTCAGCAGGTTTAGCTTGTTTACGTGCAGCATCTCGACACCAGGGATGTTGCGGAAAGCACGGGTCAGACCCTGTATAAAGGAACGGTTTCATAAGCTTATGGCTACCTGTAAAAGTTGCAGTGGCTCTTTTCTTCATGTGCCATCTTCTAATGCATGTCGGCAATCATGATGGCAGTCTGAACTTTAGACAATGCAGCTCTGAATACAGTGGCGGCTTTGCCCTTAGGCCCAGTAGGTCCGGGCTTAGGGCGGCCAATTGTGACAAAAAATTCACTGATGATAAACAAGAAAAATGTCATTTAAATTGTTTGAAAACTATTCTGCCAAATCATTACAGTGACAACTGTGCTCCGATTGGCTAGCCCGAATTCGAAACAATTGACGGGTGTCGTCAAATGTTTCACTTCAAATCGACCAGTTTAACTTGAGCTTTGCTATAATGGACGTAAATTGAAAAGTTACATATTTAATATTTCATTACTGATGAAATGTGATTCAGTTTGTTTTGTAATTAGATGTTTTGCTGTTTTTCCCGTACCACCGAATGGAACAGCCTGCCATTGTTAGAGATATATCTTTGCTGTACTATTGCAGTTTTCAAATTTGTGATTTCAGGGCAAACGAAAGTTAATATTTAAAAGTGATATAAGGCCCATTTCCCTGATGAGTTGCCAGGGAAGGGTGGCCCTTATTTCGTCTCTATTTCTGGTTATACACTCGATGACACCACGCCATAGAAATGTCACTTCCTGAACGAACTCTTTTACAAGGAGCTCTATTGTAAAGGGTATCTACCCGAATATATCCTAGACAATGAAATGTACGTACTAGTACGTATCTAGAGGATACTGACCTGGTCCTTGTTGTAGATGATGAGTGGGCCCTTGCGCTGGATGCGGCGGCGGTTGCGCATCTTGCCCTTGCCGGCGCGCAGGCGCTGCGACTTGTACACCTGCACATCAATTGTTTCATTAACATTGTTATTCGTTACTTGGGCGCTTACCTAATAAAGTGAACTTCTAGTCCACAATACAGAACATTTATTTATTTAACTCCGTCCAACCACTTATTTAATTTTTGACAGCTCGAATTCTATCAATTAGTGATACGTTTCCGTGTCAATTTGTTATAATCTTCGATTTCATTTATGAAGAAGTTTTAATCGTGAATTTGAGCGAGTTCAAAAGGAAAATATTGTCTGATTGGGATCATGATGTTGCGTTTGACAATTTGTGTACTCAAGAATTAATAATTAATATGAACGAGGATTCAAGTGATGATACCCGTTCATATGGAGAAGAATCCGACGATTCATTATAATTATTTATTACAATTTATTTTATTTTATTATAATTTATTAGACAGTTACCAAAATTTATCAACTTGAATAATCTTCATTACATAATCTACTGGGTTTGAGCACGTCGCTTCACTAAAATGAAAAAAGTTTGCATTTTCTTGTCTATGGTTGTATGTCAATACCAGGAGTAATATTTGTATGACCTATATTTATTTCTCGCGACTTTGGGTTAGCAATGGGCGAGTCGAGTTATTTAAGTAGAATAACTCGAGTTACTCCCACAACGAGTCAACTCCGACTCTCGTTTCTGTACCCGCCCCACCGAGCCGAATACTTCATTCATGTAGCGCATCGGCTATTCGTTCTCACTCAGTCGGTTCTCAACCTTCGGAGCACGCTTGAGTCGCGGTCGGCCGCCCGATCGCGACTCAAGCTTCAAGGTTCGAGTTCATATGAATAAACGCCGCATCGTTCTCGCTACTGGCGTCTCGCGATTGCTCGGTTTAGACACCGAGTCCAGTCAACTGAAGTTGCAACTCGAGTCAGCCAATCACATCAACACGAGTAACTAGAGTTGAAAAAATACAACTCGTTCCAATCCATACAGGTTACTCACCCTACCCTCCATGTACATTCTTGAGGTCTGTATGTTTGTCAAGAGAAATCTAAAAATGTTGGAACAAAAACAGTACTCATGCTTATCCAGGTTTCCAAATAGCTTGACTGGCGCTTCTAGTAAAACTATATGTTTCATGAGAAATAGTTACAAGATGTCCATAAAATTGTTTAATTTAATACCTGACTATGTAAAACAGATGCCTCGAAGGTAATTTAAAAATTATATGAACAAAATTTTATTAGGTAATTGTTTTTACAGTTTAGATTAATTAGAAACAGAATACATTAAGTATTGTAAATTAAACTTTATATCATAATTGACATAAATAATGACTAAATTTGGCATAAATTAATAAATAATTAGGTTAGATATAATAATAGAATAATATCGCACTGCTATTACAATAGTGTTATAACTTAAAATGTGTGAAATTCAAGATTTATACCATTGTCGAACGTAAAATTTAATTCTCTACAGAGAATCAATCAATCAGTTAGAATATTGTAAAAAAACAACTAAAAGTTGTCTTCTTAACTACTTAACTCAAAATGAGACACGCTTTATGTGAGCTAATTCTAGACCAAAATAGTCGTTATTTAAAAGTTACGAAATTATTTTTTCTCTTTTATTTTTAAATGATGTATATTTTGCAAGTAGGAAATAACCTATACATAAATTTACGCAGATTTTACACGGGAAGCGAGTAATTCGTTTTTCGTCGATTCTGAAAAAATACACTTTTTGAGTTAATACACTATTGTATTAACAGTAAATGTTTGTTAGAACGACTGCTATGATACAATATTGTAAAATTTTGCATGTCAGAAATGGCGCAACACGATTGTACTTATGAGATCAACTATTATGCACTTTTACCATCACCAATACCGTGTTTGCTTGCAAATAAACCATTTTCATTTCATTTCATTTCCAATCGCCAGTTTGGGTGTAATTTGTAGTTGTTTATGTGTGTGTCCATGGCATGCGCGATAAAGGAGTTCTCTAGTGCGGGGCTATGTGTGCGCGTTATTATTTCATAAATTGTATTCCAAAGTCTATATCGCAATCGACATAAGTACAACACGATTGTTGTCAATGGAACCTCTTCTAGTCCCGTCAAAACACCTACAGTTTGATACACTGCAGGTAAACATTTTGGGACAGTGAAAATAGGCGGCAAGACTATATAGGCTATCCCAAAAAGTAGTTTTTTTATGGTACTAGGTAATAGGACGAACAATTGGTGTCTGGGGGCAAACGACACGCCTATCTATGACAGTTTCCGTGCCACTCGGAGCTTTAAATCACAATAATCGGAGGGGCACTGCCAATGCACCCGTCACCCTGAAACATGAGTTGACAAGTCCCATGTGCTTGCAATTTCACAAGCACCCGTACTCTTCAAAACCTGAACGCAGTTACATGCTCACAATACTGCTTGGCAGCAGAAATATATAAGGCTATTAGACGGTCGTCTTCATAAAGTTAAAAATTCATTTAAGAGACAATGTATATGTTTCTATAATGTATATTAAAAGTAATTATATTAATATGTAATAAATATTATACTATTCAACTTTAATTAACAACATTATGCATACTAACTCCATATAATACTTACGAAAAAGTTTTTATTACATATTATTTTATATTGTATTATATTATATTATATTATATTATATTATATTATATTAAATTATATTGTATTATATTGTATTATATTGTATTATATTGTATTGTATTGTATTGTATTGTATTGTATTGTATTATATTATATTATATTATATTATATTATATTATATTATATTAGAATTAGTATATTATATCCGTGTTCAACAGTAGGATGTACAAAATTTTAAGTTTATTGACACCCTATATTACCGAACTCACGCACACCACGAAATGTCAACACGAAGGAGTACGAACGCGCACACTACACATAGAAATATTTTTGTACGGCGAATGAGCGGTATACAGAAAAACTTAGTTAAGTTTATGTTATACTGGAATGTTTTGTTTTTTAATACTTTTAAATGTAATAAATACAATAAATAAATATAAGATTCCGGAACATTATAGTGACACAAAAACTTACTCCTACGTAAAGTATCACATGTCGAAATTGCCAAGTTTACAGGGGAGCGTTATAAGTTTTGAATTCACTGAAATGACACGTGACTTTAGCATTTATGTTTTATTCGGCAAAACTCGTGGCTCACATAAGAGTGTTATAAAATCCTACATATCGGTTAGATGAACAACCACAATTTATTTTATAATTTTATACTAACGCAGATGTGGGTCACCCAAGCAGGTCAACTAAAGTGAGACGAGGCGGGTCAGGTGGCAGTATAAAATTATAAAATATTCTTCATCTAACCGATATCTAGGATTTTATAATGCTCTATGTGAGTAACGAGCTCTTCCAAATAAAACTGAGAAATGCTAAAGTCACGTGTTGTCCTTATTTCAGTGAATTCAGAACTTTAAAAGGTTTCCCTGTAAACTCGGCAATTTCGACATATGATACCTTACGTAGGATGAGTCGATTTATTACACAACTTATGTGTACTTGGATGACAAAAATGACTGCTATTGACCCGTTAATATCTTGATGAATTTGTTACTCATTCTTCTCAGGGGTGCATCGTCGGGTATAATGCAATTACGCGTAACTAGCATTTGAATGAGGTCTTGTCAATATGTGACTTTTGTTTGAAAAATAACAATCCCCTTTATTTGTTACATGAACGCATGGACATCATGATGAGTAATAAAACTATGCCAACAGTAGAATCTGCAAAGTTTTTGGGAATCTACGTTCATTTAAATACTATTTAAATTGGCAAACAGAACTTAGTAATCCCTGCGGGACGAAGCCTCTGTCGATGACTTAAAAATGGTATATAAGATATAGTATCATATAGTTTTGAGGTAATAACTATAACCATAAGAACCATAGTTAGAATTCTGCTCTGGGAGTCGTGTAAACTTTACTTTAGACAACTGTCTATATTAAGTCTATATATTTTGGAGTTGCTGACAAGCGTGATTGAAAGTTCGTCTGAATTTAGTGAGGAGACATAGTCGAGTAGGCTTGTTGCTAGGAGGAAGGACAGACGTGGTGTAATAGCACTAAAGTTAAATATTGTTAAACATAGTCCAAGATACCAAACAACAAAAATGTTTAATAGTCTCCCTGCTGAACTTAAAATAGCATAATATTTTATATCATTTAAAAAGAGTTTGAAACATTTCTGGATGGATAAATAATTTTACTTTTGACATCACAATCATTTTGATTTGACATTACTATTATTATTGTGTTATTATTGTCAATATTTTGCCTTAATTACTTGGTAATATATAACATTATGTTTGGTCTCTTATTATTTATATTGTATTTGATGTAAGTTTTTATTTGTAATTGTATTTTTTTCCAACACAATCTATTTTGTTAAGGAAATAAATAAATAGAATGAGTCTCCATTTTGGCAATTTAGTCCCCAAATCAAATTCGCGTAAATGTCGTGACAACTAAATTAGCGTGAAATCTATTGTCATCAGTCCGTAGACGACATAAATTAATGCTTACTCCCAAAGAATGAAAGTCGTAACCATTGAAATAACAAAGTAATAACTTTAAATTCCCGTCCTGTGAAATATGGTTTGGTGCAGATACGCGCTTTTTACCAATACTACATACGCGGATTTGCGCTATACCAGTAGAATATGTAGCAAGATGTCTAATCAATTAGATTATTTCAGGTTTTATTTGCTTAATTATAAAGCATAATAACATTTAATACTATAGCTCAGATAGCCTGTATGAGCGGTGTTGCCAATTAACAGGTGTTATAATTGAAGATAGACCTCGGCATACACATCTCAATGTGTGCATGAGTGAGCATGTCCTTAAAAAAGGCCGGGTTAAAAGTACCAAGAATAAACAGGCATGTATAAAGAGATTGAAGGGAGTGGATGAGGCGAAGGTTTGTCAGGAGCGTAGCTAGTGGAGGTCTATAGTCGCTGCCTACACCGGTGGGAGATAGGGGTGATGGTATGGAAAGTATGTGTGAAGATAATTGATTTCCGGGGCAGTAAATTTTTACCTTAAGCACATCGGACCAGGCCTTGATGCGGCGCAGGAAGATGACGGCTTGCTTGGTCTTGTTGATTTCCTGGACCTTGTCGGAGACCACTAGGGGCAGCTCGGGCACTTTCTCGATGATGTGACCTGGTGTAATGGCGATAAAACTGAGTTATATTGTATTGTGGTATATTGTCGACCTCAATACTGTAGAATTACTATTTGGCAAGTATTTTATCGAATCATGTTACCGGAAAGTGGGTGAAATATAATAAACTGGATTCATCCCCTAATTTAATACCCTTAGATGTGGAATATTTTCTACAAATTTGAATGGGACTGCTGCTGACGTATCCCCTATCCATCGAGGACATAACTAGAAATAGAGACGAAATGTCATTTAATGTGTTTGAAAACTATTCTGCCATCTAATTACTGTGCCAACTACGCTCCGATTGGCCAGCCCGAATTCGGTGTCAATTGTTTCGAATTTGAAGACGCACGCCACCATGAGACATAAGTTGACAAGTCCCGTGTGCCTGTTAATTTACCTAAAATATGAACGTTTTCTTTGTATGGACATACTCATTTTGTCATCAATGCGTATAAATCTTCTTTTTTATTGTTTATTTCCTAAATATTTCAAAAATATATCTTGTCTCATGTTTGTTTTTAAAAGGTTAAAGTATTTAGATACGTAAGTGCCTGTGGAAACCCAACTAAAATGATAATTATTTTTTGAGAAAATAAGTTGTCGCAAATACTTAATAGGAAATAATAATTTGTCGCCAATTTACATAAATCGTACGCATATTCAAATAAAATCAGTTCCGAGAAGTTCCGGGATTTGTAGAAGGGAATGTCCATATTATTCTTTAGTTTAGCTAACTAAGCGCCCTCAGTTCCGGTCGCTGGTTAAGTCTAATATAGAGCTACCATACTGAAATTTGAATAGTCTGGACAAAAAATTCCACGTTTGCAACAATATAAAATCGAAAATCTCTAGTAAGTCGTCGCAAATCGAGTTTTACTACAAAATTGTAACTCTAAACCGAAAAATCCGGACAACAGGCAAAAAAGCTCAAAATACGTGAAATTCAAGATTTATCATTTCTGAACGTAAGATTTGTTTCTTTACACGACAATAAAATTGTCATTACAATATTGTACGAAACCATGAAAATATATCCACTTACGCAGAATGAGACAAACGTTTTGTGAGCTAGTTCTGGATAAAAATAGTACTTATTCAAAAAAATGAAATTATTTTGTACTTTTATTTTCAAATATACTTCTAATTGGCAAACAGGAGTTGCTTAGATGTGTAATAAATTTTAACCTATACATAAATTATAATAATCTTTCACGGGAACTGAGTCATTAGTTTTTCAGCTATACTGAAAAAATTCACTTTTTGAGTTAATAAACTATTGTATTAGCAGTGCGATCCCAAGTCCCCAATCCCAGTCTAATATTAATGCAAACCACCCAATTCTGAACTTATAGCTATTAATTACTCATTTTCAAAACAGTTAGACATCTCAAAGATGATAGACAATATTTGTAGTAGACACTATGCACCCGTTCTCACTACATAGTGAGGCCAGAACGCCTTTGTCCCTACGTTAATGTAGCACTATTCCGCAGTAACACTCAGCTGCAAGGAAACCCAGTCTGAATGTGGACAGTTAGTGCATATTTGCAAATCGTAATTTTTTTTCCGACTGCAAAAAAGGACAAGGTTCTCAATTCGATTTTTTTGTATGTATTACGCGATAACTTCGATACAGGCTTTTGTGAACCAATTTTTATGATTCTATTCATGTTGAGACTATGGAACCTCAGTTTTTGGTCTTTTTCTCTTGGTCTCACTTAAATTTGAAGAAAATATGAGGTGGAATATTTTCTTCAAAGGGTCTTCTTTCTTTCTTCTAAGGGTGGCAAACTAGGGGATGAATCCGGTTTCGCGCACTTTCCGGTAACATATTTCAATAAAACTTGGCAAATATGTAGATGTAATTCCATAAACTTTTGAGGTTTGTTTTTTTTTATGAAAAAGTAATATTCTATCGTCTCTTACACTAAATGTTGAGAACAGAGCTTACTTAAAGTTGTAAAATGTAAGTAATATAATGTAACTTTGCAAGTAATTTTCGACTCAATGGCCCTGGTAATACTGGTGTAAACAGCGCGTCGGCTGCGCCGTCTTTGTTAGTCGAATTCACTAGCGGAAGAGGTGGCAGTCGACCCTATGTAAACACTCCAAGATGTTGACGAGATGTGAATTGATGTTGTGACGATGCAACCCCTTTCATCGTAATGCCACCGTTTTATCACCCTTTTCCAGAACCAGAATTCTGGCCACTTACTTTTGAAATTTTGAATCATTTCTAATTCTTTCTCTCCGTCATTCTTACTTTCTATCGTTTCGTTTTCAGTCCCATCAAAATTTCTCGAAGAGAAAAGACGTGTCTCCGTGGCCGAACGGTTACCATGCCGTACTGCCACGCAGAGGTCCCAGGTTCGATTCCCGGGCTGGGAGAAATATTTGAATGGCCTACCTTTATTTCTCTCGTGAGTTTGGGTGTAATTTGTGCTTGTCTATGTGTGTGTCCATGGCACCCGCGACACAGGGAGTCCCTAGTGCGGGGGCTATGTTGAGTGTGTGCGTTATTATTACTAATCAAGTAAGAGCGCGTTCCCGTTATGTCTTGACGACAGATAGTCGTGTAGTTTTAAGTGGCTTGTACAGGGTCAAGAGCACGTCAAGCTTGACACTTAACACTTAAATCCAACTCTATGCCGCTTACGATAAGAACGGTCCAAAGTACAAAGTGTCAAGCTTGATGTGCTCTTCACTGTACTATTAAATGAAGTTGTTCACATATAGTACAACACGATTAACTGTCGTTCACGACTTTTTTGATGTTACGACGACAGACTGTCTAGATAATAGGAAGAGCTAGCACGACAGTTATCCGACGATAAATGAAACGTCGCGATTAAAATGTGACGACAGATAATCGCAGCTACTATTGTCGTTACGTTTTATTTATCGTTGTCTGCAGGAGTACCGATAAATTGTTGTCACGATCTAGTTTAGTTACAGCTAGACGCAACTGTCGGCCAACGATAAATAAAATGACTCTTCTGAAGAACAGTGTCCGATGTGGTTATACAGTGAAAAGAGGATAAATACATAAACTCGTTATTCAAAATAACGCATATTTATAGGTGTTTTCAGAATTTTTATATTCTATTAAATTTCGGAAATATAGAATCGAACAACAGTCGATCTGATATCCAAAGCTAAGAACAGCGAACGAAATGTACAGCGTCCTGAGAATAAACAGTCTTGCACATATGTCTTTGTTCTACGGATGAGTCGAAAACGTTACAATATAATAGGAACGCGCTTTAATCCTTACTGCTTATAAAGCTGCAATATAATATGTATGTATGTATGTATACAGACCCTTTGGACCTTTCATTACCTTTTCTGTTTCTACCTCTACAATAAAAATATTGCAATAAAAATTATGGGAACCGAGCCTAGGCTACGTGTAACTGCGAAGTCTCACCTCTAGCCTGCACAAGGGCTGGTACGCCGGAGGCGGCAACGGCTGAAGCGACTGCTGCGCGGCGCAGGCGCAGGTTCACGCGGCGGTGCCAGCGCCGCCACGGCTTAGTTGGCGCGAACATGCGACCACCGCGGCACATGTTGCCGAAAGCTCCCTGCCCGGACCTGGTTGATACAAAATAGTCTTTTCACATTACTAGCTCGGAAAGGCTTTCATTAGAAATCTGTGCGGCAAAAATGTTTCTTAATTCGAACTTGACGATGGCCTGTGGTGCACCTAACTTTTTCTATCGATGACAAAAAAGAAACATAATGACACGTTCAACTACGCGATTTGTCGTACATTATTTATGTAATATAAATCCGTTGGTATATTTTATTCTTATTATTGATGAAATTAAATTGACAACAATAACTATTTTTGTTTATTACATTATTTTGTTATAGTACTAATATTTTTCATTCATCAACCATTTTCCTCACTATAGTGAGGTGAAAAGTTGTGTGTGTGTGAAAAGTTTTTGCGTCTCGCGCCTCAAGACACTCGCTACGCTCAAGATTCTATCAATCTTAGGTTCCCTCGCTTGCTCAGGCTACTATACCAGCACTCGATTCAAACAACAACTTTGCAGCCTTGCATAATAAACAGCTATTGTTAAAGAGGTAAATACACAAGTGTCAACATCTTTGTGAACGAAAATTTCAATCGCAATCGAACACGTGCACGGATTTAAAGGAAAATAGGGGTTAAAATTAAGATTTCGGAAATTTTAAATATGCTTTTAAAATATGCGTTTAAAGCAAATCATTGAATTAACTAATTGATTTGTAGTTGGCATTACAATTGGCCATCACTAAACTGTATATGGTGGGGTCAGTGACTTGTTCATTTACTTTTTGTTTAAAATGAATTGAAACGAAGTATAGAATAATAACTATGCGCCAATGCCTCAAACATGAGTGTATG